GTGGTAATTTATTGAATGTGGCCTGCATTGATTAGGAAGTTATTTTAATTACACTTATCACCTATATTTGCTCATATCCATAATCCAAGCTCCCAAGCGTTATAACTAGAGAAGAATACTCAGGGAGGTGCTTGAATCCTCTCCAGTGCTCTTCAACCACAGCAACACAAAGCACAGGTTTTCACCCTCTATATAATTTATTTTGTGGTTTGTAAAATGAAAGCTAATACTTTGATAACAATAATTAATATCAGACCTATTTAATCTGAATCTGCCATTGCCATGCAACCATACAAACTGTGGAAGCGGACAACACAGAATCCAGCATGGTAAAGATAGGCACAGATACAACTGGGAATGGGGCAGACAAAAAACTTTATGTGGCCTAAAATGTACTGAAAAAAATCAACCCAGTTACATCCATTTGCACAAATTTGAGCCAACAACATGAATTCATACTGTAGGAGAACTTAATTATATTTAGCCACACTTTCTAATCCAACTAAGTGGAGGACTTCATCACCACATCACAGCCTGAGTGACACTGTGAGGATAATGGTGCAAAGTGAAATAGGTTCAATTAAATCTTCACAGCATCAGAGTTCATACAGCGTCTCAGCTGATGGGATGACAGGAAGTGAGAGAACAATGTTCGTAAGTTGCAGAAGGATAACCATTCTTTAAATCTTTACAGTGCCTTTAGAAGAGAGAATACACATTTAATCTCTTACTGTTTGGAAGTTTTATCCCTTTTACCTCTGTTTTCCAAAAGTTTGCCAGGTTCTGAAGTGTGCAAATACAAAGGGTTGTCCTCAGGTACCCTTTTTGCCCTAAGTAGATGTAACAACCAGAAATGTGACAGCATGATGGTTTTCCTAGTTCTGGTTTGCTGACTCCAGAAGTTCAGATGGATGAGGTCATTTATCTTCATTCAATTGCTGAAATTTTTTTCTGGCCATATAGTTATGCAGAAAGATTCTAAAGGCTGTTCTTTGGGGTGCTGACCCACAGACAAACACAGACCTCAGTGGAATTCATGAATTTGCCATGCACATCTTTCAGATTCAAGCAATTAAACTCTTTCCTGAACTGAAACTGGCACAGACAAAGAATCTGCTCCCCAACACATTTAGCTGCAGACAGAGCTCAAGGAGCCCTAACCAGAGCAATTCCCCTGGCTGCAAGAACCTGGGTTAGGATACTGGTTTGAAAGATGTGTGCACCAGAGAAGGAAAGCCATTCCACCAGAGCTGGAATGAGAAAAAGGACAGTGTTTCTTAAGCCAAGAATTCCATAAAAAATCCACAAACCTGTGGATTGGTGAGCCAGGATATATTGTGCTGTTATTTATTGCCACAGAGTTTTGAAGATTGCATTAACTTTCAAGACAATTAATCTTCCTAATTAAAACTAATTAAAATTAAAATTACGTTTTGCTCAGGTATAGCAATTTCTATCTCCTGCTTAATGAGAAAATAGAATTTCCACTATTCGACTCCCATGTGTCTTTGGTAATTTACAAATTCAAAAAGCTGTATGTTTCTGTAGGAGGAAACCCATGCTCAGGGAAAGATTTGTGTTTTAATAAAAAGCATTGCATATTATGTACTGCTGGTGTTTGAAGAGATGATCAAATAAAATTTATGAAAAATTCTGAATATTTGAAGTACATTTAAAGCTCAGGCAGAGTTACAGCAATAGCAGTCTACTTCTGGCCATTTGCTGCACAACTGCTACCATGGCTGCTGCTTCCTAAGTCTAATTCCCACATAAGCAGAAATTTGCCCTGAGGAAAAAAGGCTACAGATGCACAGTAAATCTCTCACCATGAATATTTTCCTGCATGCTGTTTAGAAAGTAATTTCCTGTGGAATTCAGCTAACTCTAGACAGACAGATTCCTACAAATACACATGAAAAAATTCCTTATGGTTTGGCAGTATTGTTATTGAGTGACCCTGGGCAAGTTATTCAAGGCTGACTCACAAGTGTCAAACTGGAATGGAAATGTTTGCAGGACCATACCCTGCATTTCCAGGCAGACAGATAAGCTGTCATCTTTAACTCTGAATCACTCAATTTTTACCACATGGCATTTTGAAAAAATGCTGCTTGTGTGTGCAGAATTATGAAGACAAACATTTGCACAGTGCAAAACAAAGAGAAATAATGGCATTTAACCCAAATATGCATTAGAAAAGATTCTGTCCAAGACAGAATAACACACCACTTGCATGTACATTTGAGAAATTCCTGTCATTCCCATTTTCTTCCTATCACAGCAGCAGTAGTTCAGTACAATTTTATTCTTTCAGTGATGACCATCCTCATCAAGAGTCCTTTGTACTGTCTTACAGAAAGGCCCCACTCCTATTTTTCCTACACAAACATCTTCATAAGCTTATCTCCAGCTTTGATGACAAATTCTTATTTGGAATTTGCCTTACAAATTCTTCTACAAAAAAGACATTTTCCAGTTCTATTTTTATATCCTCTGAAAGCTCTCCACACCTACACATGGAAATACCTCATCCCTTTCTCCAGGAAACTGCTACTATATATTAAATATTAGTCTCTGCTACCCTGGCTATTCTGTTCTGTGCTCATTGCACTATTTCCTCTGGGTTGCATCTTCCTCTTTGAAGAGAAGGACAGTATTTCATTTACCCTGGAAAGCTCTATTGCACATGGCACTGATACAAAATGATATATAGATTTATAGATTTAGCCACATCTAATACATTTTGCTCTCATCTGTTCTAGTCTCTGACTCTGTTTCTTGGAGACAATAGGGTCTTCAGAAAAGTCTAAGACAAACTGGGCTCAGAGTACGGGAAATCAGAGACATCCCCAACTGGAGAATGAAGTGCAAAGGTGAAGAAAAGGAATGGGGAAGAAAAGCCAGAGGAAGAGGGGTATGCAAATGAGAATTATGAGGGTGGTTATGAGGTCCAGCCCCCTGGGGGGGCTTGCATGTAGCAAACATTAACAGCATATAAATTATACTATTTAATGAATGGAAATTTTATTCAAAGTTTTCTTGTATCTCTAAATTTAGGGTAACAATCTATCTTCACATTTAGGTGTTTTGTAGAAATTAATGATCTGAGTAATTAATGTTTGTGCAGTATTCACATACTACACCGATGCAGAGATGAATTAGTAATTTCATCTTCAGATCAAGGTCTGACTCAGATATTCAGCAAGTGCCAAGGAGCTGAGAAAAGTATATTTAAACAGCTGTCCCAGAATCAGCGGGAACCTATTGTCCTATGCAGAGGCTCACATTGTACTGATCACCTGGAACTGGTCTTTTGTAAGGTGTCTTGTCTCTGAATTATTTCTAAACAGCAAAGAGTGCAAAAAAGATCACCCACTGAGTGTGTGGGATCATACAAAATATTGATTAGCTGATCATTAACAGAGCACACACTGACCAGTAGAGCTTAAATTCTGTGGAAAATGACTAAAATACATTAGTAAAGATTTGATTATTTGCACAAGGGGAGTGAATTTAGCATTCTCAAAATTAAAATCTGGCATTTCTTAATTCTTGGATGCATGCCCTTGAAACCTTCTTATATTTTTATTTCAACTTTTAATGATTTTTTTCTTTCTCTGTTGAAGTGTTTCCATGAAGCAGTTTTGTCTGACACTGTCATCTCATGAAACACAAGTTTCCTGATTAACAGCTTCCTTGTAAGATCATCTATCCCAAAAATGACATTTGGAAGTGACATTATCTCTAGACTGAGAGCCATCAGAGATGCTAGACAGCTGCCCAAGACACAGTACATTAGTGTAGCAATTCTAATCAAGCCAAAAGAAAGATTAGAGACACGTGCATTTCTACCAGCATTGTTAAACAGATTTTCTGTCCCATGCACCAACTCTCACAGCAGACAGAGTCAGAAGATGCTTTTAAGAAGTATTATCCTTAAATAATCATTTTGAAAATGAACTGTTTCATTTCTGAAAAAAATTACATACTTTGCTTCAATACTCTTCCAATTTAAATATTGTGAGATTTTGTATTGAAAGTATTTTTCTTTTGGGCAACTTAAAGTTAAAAATTCGAAAAGGCATTGGAAAACAAAAGCAGGTTAAATAGCCTAAAAAGGAATATTTCCTTTGGCATAAATAAACCATTTAAACTTAACCCAATTATTGTCAAAATGTCTAGGTTTGTTTGGCCTGTTTGTTCCTTCTATTTTCAATTTGCTTATAATATATCCCAGCTCTCCACAAACTTTTGTTTGGAGGCTATCCTACTTCTGTAAGTGCTAATGCAGGCTCTTACCTGGTTTTATTCTTAGTTCCCATCTATTTAGCACAAAACAGAGTAGTCTGAGTGTAGCAATACACTGAACTCAAGTTCAACAGTCACTCCTGCTAATAACCTCATTTTGCAGCCAGGATGTGGCTATGACAGCTCTCCATTAAGAGTCCTCCAATGTTCTCCACACACTTCACAGTCCTCGCTTTTCCTCTTTCTCACCTTCTACATCAATTTGCAGACGAGTTCCCCTAAAATTCACCAGGAGAGAGCTGACTCCTGGATCCACATCCTGAAGCACACGGGGAATGTCTCTGCAGGCCTCGTAAGAGCTGACATCTCCTGAGGGAGGTTAACGTGGTGCTCCTGCTGCCACACACATCCCCAGAAGCAGAGGTTTGTCTCTGTTTACTAACTGGTGACTAGCTGCTTTTGTGCACTTTTGTGGTGGTGCATCACCCCCCTATTTTAGGTTATACTGTGATCTGAGAAATGCTTGTTAGGCCTCTGCGTTGATGAGCAGCACCTGGGCTCAGCTCCTCTTGAGCTTGCCAGAAACACTGTGTGTTCCCAGGAGCTAGTGCTGTCTAATGAGCTCCTGCATGTTTTTTGGTTTTAAGAACAGCCTTGAAAACTTTTATTTTTGTCCTGAATGGCATAACATCCTCTTTTTCACACTTTCAAAGAAAGTGGCCCATCCAAAGTGCAGCCAGGATGAAGCACCGTTATGACTAAAGCCCTCTCTCTTGTGGCCTATGAACAATGGTCCAAAGTGAGGCCCTTTGGGGTCTCCTGGATGGCAGCAAAATCCCTCTGAGTGAGGCTTCTCAGAGCCAGAGAACTCTCAGGTTTGCTGTACTCAGGGGGTCACTGAACGATGATAGATCCTGGGCTGATCCCTTCACTCCTCAAAGCACAGCCTTTCACCTATTGGGAAAATACAAAAGTATCTGAAGTGAGTACTTCACTGACTTTCAAAGGGAATTTTTCACAGGTGCCTTGCACTGGCACACTGTGTGTGTGTGTTTTGAACTTACGTTATGGCAAATATGAGAGAAATGCCACTCTCTTAGACATTTAAATGCTAAGTTAGGCCTGTAAGCAAGTTACTGTTGTGATATAATAAATGAATGCTATATATGCCATATGAATGCTTTGCTAAAGTGAAAAGTTTAAGTTAAACACTGGTAAGTGTTGCTCTTTTGCTAAATTGCTAAATTTAATTTAAGTTATAAGTTGAGTGCTGTTAAGCACTTTAGGCCACACTCATTTTTAGCCTTTTGTCACACACACATGTAGACAGTTTTCAATTCATTTTGGTTTGGATTGAGTGGATTTTGTTTGTTTCTTTTTTCCTAAGTGTACCTTAACCATTTAGTAAGCAGTAGAGTGAATCTTGTCAATGAACTTTATCATGCTGTCGCTTTATATTAGATCTTTATTTTACTGATACCTTTGCTGGTGATTCTTTAAGCAATCTCAAACATTCATTCATAACAACTTCTAATGCTGTGTTACCCAGCTCACTGCTCGTGTTTGGTGTGTGAATTGCTTCTGAGTCTTCTGAAAAAAAAAAGGTGTTTCATTACAGTGGAAATGTTATTCCTTGGAGATTTGCACTGACCTTCTCCATCCTGCTAACCTGCCCTGTGCACTGCACTCTGTGACGCAGACAGGGCTTTGAAGGAAAAGCAAAACACTCATTAGTCAAAACTGCAGTACAATGTGAAAGCAGATCACACACACGTGCTCCTAACATGCAAATTTAACAGTGCTTTTCCTGGAACAAAGCCCTGTGCTGCATATAAATGAAGGGCATGGCTGAGCCTCACACAGAGATTTCAGATTAGCCCCTTGCTTTGGGCAAATAGTGGAAAGCACCCAGATAGGGCAGTGCCAAGGCTAAAATAAGAACCTGCAGAAGATCAACCAGAACATGTATTTTACACAGCTGTGTCCAGCAAACAAAACATGACAGCCTGTTCCAGCAGACAGATGGGGAGCTGAGTTTTTCAGCAGGAGTGCCAGCCCTTTAAGTCAACTTTGTAGCAGCAGCAGCGCTGAATAAGATAAACATACAAATTACTGATTACGTGTAGGGGAAAGCAATGGCAAAACACCACCAAACAAACTCCACTGATACATGGAATGACCTCATGCCTAAAGGATCTGAAGGAAATTGCTGTTCCACTGTGCCTGTGCCTAGAAAAAAGAGCTCTCAGGATCTGGCACTGAATCCAATAAATCATAAAAGCTGGGGAAAAAAGCCACACAGACAGGAGACAAACCATCAGAAACAGTAGCCCATCAGCTCCAGATTAAATTAAGAAGTATTTCTTGTCATCCCCTCAACCCCTCTAAGTTTGAATATGAAGCTGTAGATGTAGGTGACATTGAACACCATTCATCCACTGACTTTATTAATCTCCTTTTTCAGTTCCTGCACCACTCTGTCTCTGCTACAGTCATGGGTGATGGATACAGCATCTGGGTGTACCTGCTGGACAGGACACCTCTGCAAGTCCCTTTCATTTCAAACATCCAAGATATAATAAGCTGTAGACCAAGCATTCATACAGATTTTGTCCAAAGCAGGAGAGATTTGGTTGGGCTGGGGAAAGCAAATTGGCCTGTGGATCCAAATTGCTCTAATCAGGTTTTGACCCCTAAAAAAAATTATCTCAAAAAGACTTCAACAGAAGAGGAGACTCGACCCTGCAATCTGCTTAGCAGGCAACAAGCAGGAAAACAGCATTTTGCCTTAAAACATGCTTCGGAAATAATAACCTCCTTCTTTTCCCCAATGTCCCATGCCTTTATTGTTTGGAACTTGAAACAGAAATAGAGACATGTCCCCAAAACTGCCAAGACTGTAGTCAGAGCCATATGCCTTGGAATGTTAATTTCAGATGAGGTGGGAAAAGAAAGATAAAACCTCTGTCTCATCATAAACATTTATGGTCAGGTTCCTTGAAAAAAAATTGTCTTTTAGTGGTACATTTGTTTGGTTGGTTAATAATGCACTTAAAAAATAAGCATATTGTCAACATTTTCCACATTACCTAGCTACATTCCATTTATTATATTTTATAAAATAAACTCAGCCTATCCATTTGATTACTCTTGCCCTAAATTAAACCATCAGACTATTTTCCATTACAAGCACTGTCTTATACCATAAATTGTTATTAAAATTAATTTACGTCAAGGTTTGCCTGAATAACAAGATATGTCTTTCCTACTCAATGCTACATGACTGAAGACACATCAGAGAAAGACCATTTATATTGCAGGCATTTTTCATTGATGTGTCACCTTCTTAAATGCTTCTCAGCTTTCCTTTAATGACTTTAACTATTTCACAGGTTTTTTTTAAATGGGACTTTCCCCCCTCCCTTTGCTATCAGTGCTGCTTGTGAGTGCTGCCAGAGCTGCCTGGTGACTTCCAGAGCTTGGGAAGTGAATTTGCCACAAGGTAATACACACTGCAGGTTTGCAATAAATACAACTGTTAACAAAGGACAACTTCTGAGCACTGAGCTATCACTTTACTGGAGCTTGAAGAAAGGAGCTACAGAAAATAAAAAAAGGACTTTCTAGTTAGCAACTGAGATAAAAGAGGGTGTGTTGCTTTCACAGAAGCTGCTCTAAAAAAGCCTGTAAAGAAATGCTGAAGGTGGACTAGGATTTAGATGGGGAGAGCTGGATTCACAAAGGAGAGGCAACATCAGAAAGACTGGACCTTCAGCAATTTACCTTTAATGCAAGCATAATTAGTGAATTAGTTTTTAGCAGAAAAGATATCTGGTAGATCAGCCAAGAATGCAGTTTCACCACTGCCCTTGCAGCAGTGAGCTCCCTGCATATGCACAAAATGGTTGCAGAATTTCACTTCATGCACTGCTGTTAGAACTCAGCTCACTATTTTTGAAAGGACCTGATGGCTGAAGAAACAGTCCTTAGACACAGTCCTTAGAAAGGACTAAGGACTTAGAAAGGACCTTAGAAAGTCCTTAGAAAGGACTAACTGTGCTGTGTTATAAAAACAAACACCAAAACAAAACAACCCACATCACCACTGAAATCAGTAGATGAGTTGAAGCAGTCCATATCCTCCCTAAATAAACACAGAGAGCTGCTCTCTGCCTAAAGCTGTCAGGTTGGTGTGTAATTGCCACAACCACACAGAGCTTATTCCCAGTTCTACCTTGTGGTAAATCTTTGTCAAAAAAACTTTATGAAAAACAATGACATTGAGTTGACAAAGAAATGTAGAGCTGTTTTGGTTTACACAGTTCTATAATAATAATAACATTCTTTTTCTTTCGTTCTTCTTATTTTAGGTTGTTCTTTATTGTTTACTCAAGAGGTTAGATTGGCATTCAGGAACAGTTTACCTGAGTGTTTCAGTTGCAACGAAACCCCTGCACGGTTACATAAGGAGCTTTTGCAGCTCTTGTGGGTGCACATGAGAAATGAAATAGCACTTGCCTCCTCAGGAAAACAATCCATGGCTCTTTTCTTAATTAACACTGCAGAACAGCTTATAAGATGTGCTACTAGAATCTGCTTTGCTTTGCTAATCACACTCACTCTACTTCCCAGTTGATTCATTTGGTCATCAGAAAATCAGATTTTCCAATCGTAATAAATGCTAACTAGCTCTCTGAAAATGCAGGACATGTTGTAAGGAACTTTATAAATGAGAAGCAAAAAAATAACTAAGTTTTCTGATATATTCTTGGAATAATATGTATTTCTCTCATTTCAAGTACATTTACTACCAGTTTCCTCACCATTCCTCACTCAGTGCAGCTAAAGAGTTCTAAATACTTCTTACAAAAGAAACCTCTGGAAATTAGGTACCAACATTTACTTGACTTAATTGAGTTTCATGGATATGTATTTATCACATGTAACAGCCTGGTTTTCGGAGCTGAGGTAATTAAGCACAAATTTGTGAATGCTGTGACCTGCAGCAGGGGGCGTATCAGAGGCCCTCCTCTGTGTCCTCAGCAACTGTAAATTTTTAACAGCTCCCAAACAAGTAGTTTCATCTGAAATTGTTGCATGCTTTACTTTTTTTATCAGGTTTGTATCTCCAGGTGATCAAGACAACTAGAGACTTGGTTTGTTTGCTTTTTTTAAAGCTAAGGGCCATTGCTAACAAGGACTGGAGAAGGTGAAGGAACTGAGAGATAATATAAATCTCCTTTCAGCACACAAAAGGAGTTCACACAGATTATTTTTTACATAAATTGTGATGAATGAGCCATCTGGACATTCTCATTCACTCTTCACATACACATAAACAGATTCACAGCTAAGTTGGTTCTGTTTAAATAGAATCAAGTTTACTATCTTCGGTAGAGCTTTCTTGACTTGAATAGTCTCCAAATTTGATCTCTTTGGAAAAGAAATTTAATTATATTGTCGTAATTTTGTCCCTAGAATGATGAATTAATCTTGTCTTATGGCTCTAATACATAAACAATTGCTCTATACAATTGTTTTACATTTAAAAATTATTTTCTGCTTTATTTAGCCTGCTTCTACTTGCTTTGTTGCTGAAACTTGTACACTGAATTTCAGTACTTCAGAGGACATACTTTTTACATAAGCCATGGGGAAAAGCCTCAAATATTATAGTAATGCAGCACTATTACTGTCATAGAGTGGAAAACAAGAAATGAGTATCAGATTTATATGTAATGAGCCCTCTACAGTTTAAGAAGGATTAAATTCTTGTAGTGTGTTGTAACACTCTCCAGCAAATGAAATTGCTACACCATTTGCTAAAGAGTGACATAATATCTCCTGCCCATACCCTTACTGAACTGTGAAGTGCAAGTCTTTTTAACTTAATGGAAATTACATGAGGATTTGTAGTAGCAGGCTATTTCTCCCATCCCACACAAGCAAATATTAATTCTTCTTTACCAAAAAAATCCATAAGACCCACATTCTTGATACTCAGAATATCTGTGATACTCTACCACATCAACAGTAGCATAGGAGCCAGATTCAACTGTTCAAAAACACATTTTAAAAGAGCCTACCTTTGATTCAAACATCTGTGCTTTTGTTTTTCAAAGGAAAAGGACATAACAAGAAAAATCTTTCAGATTAGGCAGAAAGGTAGATCTCAGGAAAGGTTTCCGCTGCAATATGCCTTAATCCCCTTGGTCCCTGGGATGAACAAGGAGAGCAAAAATCAGCACTGCAGAATGTCATGTATCAGCTCTGAATTTATACCAGCTTTTTACAAAACTTTCTGATCTGTCTGTGGAATTAAACCATTGTCACAGTAATACCCAGCTTCTGAAAGGTGTTGACACTTTGACCACAGCTCCTCACTAGCGTCCTCGAGCTTCCCTGTACTAAAGAGGAAAAAAAATCACAGATGACAGATAATGTCCTTCATAGAAATTCCATGGCACCAGTGACCATGTCCAGAAATCTCTTCCAATGCACCCAGACAAATACACCACAGGCTTGGTATCAGCCAGGTTCCTGGTCAGCCCCAAACAAGCACTTCTGGAAGAACCAGGGACGTCAAGCAGGCTATAAAGCTCATTGTGGCAGAAAGAAGGGTCTACAGCACCTTTTCCTAAAATGTGACAAAATGATCTCCTGAAAGACTTAGCTGCTCAGGAAAAGATTTGACCTTCCTTACATGGAAAAGATTTGACCTTCCTTACATACCCACTGAAGATCTTTGCTCTTGGGGAGAGCAAAACAGAGGAAACAGCAAGAAAGGCAAATATGCATAATCACATTTTTTGGGGGGCCACAGTCTGCTGATAATACAGGGAATGTTCAGAAATCAAAGAA